TGTAGACCTGTGTGAAGCAGCGGAAAGGTGAGCTCTTGTTGGTCACAAGGACATTACAGGATTTCCCAATTTGGTGTGTTCCGCTGAGTACCATTTGATGCTCCCACCAAGCCAAACTGCGCCACCTGACCAGTACCTATCGTTTCCTTTGTTCCCGATTCTTGAAGTCTAGATTTTACCTAGCAGTCACTGAATTGCTGTTAATAATTCCTTATTCAGGTTGGCGTCCATATTGCTGATGTGACCTACTTTGTCTATGAAAACACGGAGCTGGACGAATGGGCATCCAAAAGGGCTACAAGCGTTTATTTGGTCCATCAGGTTTGGCTAAAAACCTAAGCTGTGTCTTGTTTCTTGTAACCTCTACCATTTGCAGGTGATTCCTATGCTGCCTAGGCTTCTGTGTGAAGAGTTGTGCAGTCTCAATGCGGGTGTAGATCGGTTGACGTTCTCCGTTGTATGGAAAATGGATGATAAGGCCAATGTATATGAAGAATGGTTTGGTAGAACGGTGATACGATCTCGAGTTAAGCTGACTTACGAACATGCACAGGTATTATTTTTGCATTCCGACTGATTATTTGAGGAGATCTTCATTTTAAGGACTTCATCGAAAATCCAGAAAAGGACTTTAGTGATGCTGAAATGCCTGAAATAAGTGATAATGTGACGGTTCATCAGCTTAAAGAGAAGGTAAGCAGAAATCTCTTGAAGTGTAAATAGAGCGCCAAGGGTTCATGGCTATTTTCCTAGGTACTGCAACTGAACTCTATAGCAAAGTTGCTGCGACAGAGGAGAAGAGAAAGTGGCTCGCTGCAACTTGATCAACCAAAACTAAAATTTGCACTGGACGACGACAATAAATCACCCATTGGAGTGTCCATATACGAGGTTTGTAGTTTATTTGCGAAATTCTGTGTACGTGCTTGTTTTAGCCAAATTCTTGTGGGGAAGAAATTTGGCCTTCAAGAGCGTACCATGAAAAAGTACAGCCTGGTTCGCTGCGCATGGTGGGGTTTGACGCGCCATCAGATCCATTCTCTACCAGTCGCTGAAGCGGTTAAGTGATAACAGTTTGCGGAAAGCTACCGATGCGAACG